ACCCTCAATGAGGCCATAAGTCTCCATATGTTTCTCACTATTTCCAACCATGTCCTTTTGGGCCTCCTCCTTACCCCTTTGAGCCCTTCCACTTGAACCAACGCACCTCATAATAGGTGTCGTGCTAGGTCTGTGCTGCATATGGCCAGCCCACCGAAGTCTATTTTCTCTCATCCCACACCTAAGTTCTCCCGAATGTATTCATTTTGAATTCTATCCCTTCTTGTTTTGCTACTCATCCATCTCAACATCTTCATCTCATGTACACTCATCTTATAGGTATGTTGTTTCTTGACCGCTCAACATTCTGTCCCATAAAGTAAAGCTAGTATCACAGTTGTTCTATAAAACTTCTCCTTCAGCTTCACATAAAACTCCGGTTGCACATCTCCCCTTTACGTACCCAGCTCTAATTTTATGCGCGACATCTTTTTCAATCTTTCCATTTTCTTGGATTATTGACCCAAGATATCAAAAGTACACATTTTTTGGTATTTCTTGGCCATCAATCTTAACTACTTCCTTGTCTCTACTATTATTACTAAATTTTCATTCCATATACTATGTCTTAGTCTAGCTAATTTAAAACCTTTAGATTCTAGAGCATTCCTCCAAAGTTCTAGCTTTGGATTAATGCCACTTCAGGTCTCATCAATTAAAACTATGTTGTTGCAAACAACATACACCGCGGTACCTTATCATGCAGGTGCCTAGATAAGTGGTCCATAATTACGACAAAGAGGTATGGGCTCAACACCTACTCCTGATGTAGATTTATTGGCACTAAAAATTCATTTGTCTCTCTACCAGTTGTTTGCACACCAGTTAGCGCTCCCTCATACATATCTCTCACCAAATCGATATAGTATTTGGAGAGTCTTTTCTTTTTCAACACCCACTTAAATGTCGAGGTACTCTATCATAAGTTTTATTTAAATCAATAAAGACTATGTGGAGATCTTTTCTCTTTGTCTTGAACTTCTCAATAAATTGCCTAAGTAGGAAAATAGACTCAATTGTTGACCTCCATGGCATAAAATCGAATTGGTTTTCTAATACACTAGTATCATGCTTTAGTCATTACTCAATCACCCTCTCTCAGCTTAATAGTGTAGCTTATAAGTTTGATCCCTCGATAATTATCACAATTTTGTATATCCCCTTTGTTCTTGTAAATAGGCACCACGGTACTGTTCCTCCATTTGTCTGCCATGTTCTTTGTTCACAACATCTTGTTGAACAACTTGATTAGCCAATCAATAATGATGTCCCCCATGCACTTCCAAACCACTATCGGGATACCATCTGTTCCTAAAGGCTTTCCTAGTTTCATCATCTTCAAAGATTCTTGCTCTTTTGATATCATGATCCTACGAATGTGTCTATGACCGCTGCCCTCATTTATGTCAATAGCTCCTACCACTGTGTTCCCATTGTGTTCGTCATTTAATGATTTTTTAAAATAAGCTCTCCATCCTTCGTTGACCTCTTCATTATTCACCAAGACCTTTTGATCATCACTCTTAATGCATTTAATATGGTCTAGATCCCTACATCTTTTCTATCATTTTTGCTATTAAAGACATCTTTTTCACCGTTTTTTTTCCTAGTCTACTATATAGATTATCATATTCCTTAAGTTTAGCCTTACTTACCATTTGTTTAGCATTTTTATACTCTTCTAAGCTTTGATCATTTCTATTACATTGCTAAGTTTTATAACATGATCGTTTTTCGCTAATGGCCGTCTGAACCTCATCACTCCACCAAGTTTCGTTATCGAAAATTCTTTTCCCTCAAGTTTTTCATAAAATTTCTTTTGCCACTTTCTTAAGATAGTCAGTTATCTCATTCCACATAATGTTGACCTCACATTCAGCATTCCATTTTCCTTCTTTAACTAATTTATCTGAAAATAAGTCTATCTTCTCATTTTTAAAATTCTACCACCTGGTTCTTGGACACCTATTAATTTCACACCTTCTCTTCCATCTCTTCATGTAGACATCCATAACCACGAGCCTATGTTGCATAATCAAACTCTCTCTTGGGATAACCTTACAGTTTTTACAAGATGGTCGATCTACCATCTTAACTAAGAAGAAGTCTATTTGCTTTTTATATTATTCACTTTTACAAGTTATTAAATATTCATCTCACTCTTTAAAGTAAATGTTTGCAATTGCTAGGCTGTAGGCCGCAACAAAATCTAGAATATCCTCATCCATCTCATTTTTTTCAGCAAACCCATATCCTACATGTATCCCTTCATATCCTCTACTATCTTTCTCTACATGACCATTTAAGCCCTTTCCAAAACAGGTCATCTCTTCATTTGGTATGCCTTGTACTAGTCCATCCATGTCCACCTAGAATTGTCTCTTAATTCTATCCTCTAGTCCTACTTGTGGTGCATAAGCACTAATTACGTTAATTATCTCTTTCCCTAATATAAACTTAATTAATAGGAGCCTATCACTTACTCTCTGGATATTAACTACTTCATTTTTAAATCTTCGTATATTATAATGACTTCATCATTTATGTTATTATCTTTTTCTATATAACAAAGTTTATGCATGTCTATGACCTTAGCTTTTTTCCCTTTCCATTTAGTTTCGTATAGACAAGTTATATCTACTCTCATTTGTATCATTGTATCCAATAACTCCATACTAGTGTTCCTACATTCAATGTTGCTAGACGAATCCTATTCTCTTGGATGCGATTCTAGCTTCTTTACCCGCACTCATCTAGAATGTCGCGGGAACCCTTGCCTATTTTTCACTGCAATCGAGCGTCGCTATGGCGCATCGCTTATGGGGGATGCCCTAGCTAACCCTTGCTCATTTCTCACTGTACCCGGGTTCTGATACAGTGTGTCGCCTATAAGGAACACCCTAGCATAAGCAGATAAGGTAGATTCATGATACATGTAAAAGTACAAATTTTATGGGACCATGGAAGATTTAGTTCTAATCCAACTAGAAGTGGATATGGGTCAAAGTTTCAAGGGATAAAGACTACATTCCTTCCTGATCATGATGGTTGATTTAGGGATGGATGGCTTTGATATGTTTTCTCTCACGTAACATATTACTTGGGAATCCTCCAACTGAATTCTAATTGAGATGGGCATACCTTAGAACCTTAAGGCCTATGTAAAAGGGGTCCTCCCCTTATTCGATCCTGACGAGTTCATACCTCTCTTCTCTCCTCTCCTCTCCTCCAAGCCCCTCTCTAACTCTCTCTCTCTCCTCTCTCTAGGACAAGTACACCCAATCTAAGAGGCTAGGCCATAAGGGTGGCACGCATCACCCAAGCTAGCCAACTTAGGACGCATGCCCAGCCCACCTTCTATTGCATTCAAGCTAGGTGCCCTTTGTGGCATGACCCAAGGTTAACGGTTGAAAAGAAACCCATAGTTGTGCATACTCTCAGCCCCAGTTCTATTAGAGATCAGTACCGACGGTGCTTCTCATTTCGAAGGATTTAGCAGGTCAACAGGACCAAAGAATCATAGCGCACCATCGGTTCAATAACCAGGGGTGTCCTGAGTCTTAAGGGGGTAACCCTAGGCAAAGGTTCAATAAGTCTTCCCAATTTTGTTTATCAGTTTATTTGTAGTTCTCGAATCATATTTATTTTAAAAGCCCTAATCGTATTAGTAGTTCTATTTAAATTAGGATTCCTACTCGGACACGGACTCCTACAAAGAGTAAAAGTCCTAATTGCATTAGAATCCTTTTCTTTCTTTTTTTAAGACATATTAACGGCAGGAATAGAGGGTGGGTGCATTTGAAATCATATTGTAAGTTTGAATTCAGTTTTGAATGAAGTTTTATTTGGCAGTACGAGTTAAAAGTTCTTAGATTGTAGTAGGTTTATTTTTGTATTACATTGCGGCAATTGTAAGGAGAAATTCTAGTTATTAATAAAGAAAAAGAGAACTTTTTTGAATTCATACCTTGGAATTCTACATAGCCACAACTTTCATTGGCTAGCTCTCACATCAAAAATCAATCCAATAAATTTATATAGAGGAATAACTTCTAAGTAAGCTATTTTGTTGAGGTACAAAACCTCCAATCACCAAAAACAACTCATCTCCCAGTGGTTTAGTGGTCCTCAAACGAAAGAAATAAGGAACCATTATATATTTAAGATCGTCAAACAAAGAAAAGAGGGAACAATGTGTCCAAGTATAGACATTTGAACAAGTTCAAAGAATGACAGAAACCAATACATTCATCAGACAATGATGATGCATAAATGAGAAATTGAAGTATGAATGTAAAAGCCCAATGTTCTGAAAATTTTTTTAGGGAGAAAAATGCTAAAAAAGCAAGAACCCAGCAACTTTGCAATAAAGACACTTTTATAGAGGGAAGAAAAGTCCAATAAAGCAAGGACCATGAGCTGTTTGTGACAGGAAAATGGTCAATATAACAACTTCAATAGGTGTAATAAACAAAAATATTACAAACCAGACACATCTCCAGTAATCATTTATTGATACTCCCAGGCAAGGTTTTGTGCATGTTTACATGAAGCACCAGATTGTACAGATAAACACATCACCACTTATCCGCATACAGTCATATGTGAGTGAGCTTTTGCAGAGAAAAAAAAATTCAGTAAATATGATAGAGAAGAGAGAGAAGACAATCAAATTCACTTAACACAGAATTTCCAACAAAATTATGAGTAAACATGAAAATTGGAAATTGCATGATTGGCTACAGACTTCCACAAGGAACCCCAGACAATCAACCAAATCTCCACTCCTGAAAATTATTACGAACATTAAACTAGACAAAAGTAAGTTGATAAAATCCCCAAAAACACATGAATTTCTTAGTAAGGTTTCTAATTGTTCTAACAACTATGAGAAAAATCTTAGGGATGAAGGAATTTTCATGGTAGATGAGCACACCAAAGTCACAAAATGAAATTTAGTATTTCCAATTTATAGGCCTACAGAAACCAGGATGTGGAACCAACCTAAGTTCTTCAGAACAAAAAACAGAGAGCCTTCCCCTTCATGCCCCTCTTTGTAATGACGAATATTTGGTGTAACTGGCCATATGATGTTCAACTTCTGACCTTCCTTAACAGGAACAGCTTTGATGAGAACCTGATATAAAAAGTTAAAAAATAGGATTAGACATCAGACAAGTCCATTTGATCACCAACTGGCAATATCTTTAGGTTACTCCTTATAAATACTCTTTAGCTTAAAGAACTATATAATAAAAAAATTGGTGTATCTAGAGAGAATATGGTCAATCACCTATCCTCGCATATTAACTAATGCTATCCTTACATATTAATTAACGCAAAGGTAATATAACTAAATAAATTCTATACCTGAAGGTGCTCGGAAGTACAAGGACGACCAGGATAAATAGAACAGCTTCTAGCAGTATTCCTAATTCCATGAAACTTTTCCTCCACCATATGTTGAATGTCATCAAGATTTTCTGTCAAAACGGGCGGTGCAAAGTGTATTGAAGTACGTTTGGAGGGTGTATTCAAAGAACTGCATCATTGATTCCATTTCACACAGCAAACAATAATCACTTACTTTTCCCATAGACAACTAGATGCATAAGATTGGCTGAATAATCCTCCTCATAAAACTTAATAAGCTCATCTCTTGCATCTAGCCCTTTTGCTTTAGGTCTTACCTCCAAAGTATCCCAATTTCCTAAAAATTGTGAACAACAAAATCAGACAAATAAGCTAATATTAAAATTAATCACAATTTAGCAACAAACCAAATATATAAGTAGGATCAATAATTTGAGAAGAAATCCTTAACAACTATTAGCATTAAGTATTAATGCAAATATGAATATAAGAAAATAGTAATCCAAACAACACTTCTACCAGTAAACCAGGGGTAACCTTTGAAATGGGTATCCGTCGAGATAACCCTGGAATGCAATTACAACCGCAAACTTCACGGGAGAAATTATTTATAGCATTCACAATCAGCTAAAATTAGCCGAAATGGCATCGACACAAAATAAAAACTTTGGAAGGATGCCTTAGAATCTAAAGGTTTTAAAATAAGCCGGACTTAGACATAGTATATGGAATGCAAGTTTAGTAATAATAGGAGTAGAGACAAGCAAGTAGTTAAGATTGACGACAAAGAAATAGCAAAAATAACACACTTTCAATATCTTGCGTCAAAATCCAAGAAAATTGAGATATTGAGGAAGATGTCGTGCATAGAATTAGAGCTGAATGAGCGACGTGGGGATGTGCAACTGGAGTTTTATGTCATCGTCGCATACCAATGAAGCTGAAAGGTAACTTCTATAGGACAACTATTAAAGCAACTTTGCTTTACAAGGCAAAATAATAGGCAGTCAAGAAATAACATACCCATATAACGAGTGTAGCTGAGATAAGGATGTTGAAATGGATGAGTGGCAAGACAAGAGGGGAGAATTCGAAATGAATACATTTAGGAATTTAGGTGTGGCACCAATAGGCAATAAGATGAGATAAAATAGACTTAGGTGGGCTTCCCATGTACATCACAGACCTAGTATAGAACTTGCTAGGAGGTGCGAGTTAGTTCAAGTGGAAGGCTCCAAAAGGACAACGGGTAAGCACAAAAGGACATGATTGGAAGTAATGAGAAAAGATATGAGGACTTATAGCCTCACTGAAGGTATGGTCCTTAATAGAGCAGAATGGTGGACCAAGATTCATGTATCCGACCCCAATTAATTAGGAAAAAGCTCTGATGATGAGGATGATTCACAATTGTTGATTTATTCATTGGCAAAAGGGGGTAATTGGGATGTATCAAAGGTAAGATTAGTGAACTCGAAAAAATAGATTTGTCACATGAGAATTTGAACATTAGAATATGATTATAAGGTCCTTGTTATTATACTTAATGCAACAATCAATTTGATAGGGGCGTTCTGTTCCTTTGGATTGCAAGAGAGATTTGGAAATCAGTATACCACTTACTCTTAGAGCAAGAATAGGGCTTGAGTGTACTCTAGATAGTCCTGGATTATTTATTCCGGAGCATCAGAACATATGACGGGTGTGTCTTACTTGTTTTCCTCTTATTCCCTTCATTTTGGTAAAGACAAAGTTAACATTGCTTATAGATCATTCCCTTCAATCGCTGGAAAAGGATTTGAAAATATTCTCCTCAATTGTCATTGTCATCAGTCCTTCACGTTCCTAGTTTCACTAAAAACTTAAAGGTTTGTCAATAGCAGTACTAAGAGTCTAAATTCTAGTGTAACTTTTTTTTTTCCATCTCACTATGTTTTTCAGGACATGGATATGAGGAAGACGATTGTCAATGGTCAAGAAACTGGTAGTCTCTGCATACCTAATATTATTAATCAAGCTCTTCAGTCTAGTACAAGTGTTTTTAAAGATCGGATTTGGTAGAGGCATCTATAACTTGGTCATTTGTCTTTTCAATCATTGGAAGTTTTGTTTCTTAGCTTGTTTATTTCTACTAGTGTCAAGAGTTTCAATGCGAAGTGAGTGAATTGTCAAAACATTGTAGAAACTCTTTTTACCCATTACCAATAAAAGCAATGTTCCTTTTCCTATTGTCCATTTTGATGTATGGTGTCAAAGATGAAGTTCATAATATCTTCAAGGTCTTTCGTAAGAACATTCGTACTCAGTTTAAAGCCAAAACCAAGGTGCTTCCATCTTTTCAAGGCAGAGAGTACCGTAATAGAGAGTTGCTGTCTTCTTTAGAAGAACATGGGATAGAATCATAGATTATCAAAATCCCTATTTATACACACCACAAAAAAATGGTATGGCTGAAAGGAATAATAGAGATCATTTGGAGGTTTGGCATGCTGTTGTCTTGAGCATGAATGTTCCCAAGAAATTTTGGTATGACGTTATGCTCAATGCATCCTATCTTATTGTGATAATAAGGCAGCTACCAATATAACTACAATCCAGTCTAGCACGATAGAACCAAGAGACGTAGATCGACATTTTATTCAAGAAAGAGTTGCTACCAGAGAAATACGCCTTCTATATGTTAAAACAAAAGATCAGCCTGCCAATACTCTTACCAAGGTATTGGGAAACCTCAAATGCAAAAGATCTTAAGCAAGTTGGCCATCATTGAGCTTGAGGGGGAGTGTTGTAAATGTCAAAATCTTTTGTTTTTAAGTCAGTAAATACTTATACATCCTTTCCCCATACCTAAGGGGCAGTTATCAAATTTTTATAAATTATCATCTTAAATAATAATAAGAGGGGTGTGTGGGGTGGGGAACCCCAACATGTCTGCCTCCTCATTCATTTCTCCTCAACTCTCTCCTCCTTACTGTCTCTCTCTTCTAACTGTAAATCTCTTCCTCTCTCTCTCTCTCTCTAGGGTCTCTACTTTCTTCTTTTTTTCCTTATTCCAATTCTTTTCTTATTTTTTTTAACTTATACTTCAAAATGAATATTATATCTATGCTGGATATGTTAAAAACATACACGAAATAACCAAAAAGTAATGTCTTAATTGTGTACAAAGCCACATAACCATGCATCACAGCACTAGTGCACTAAGTTGAATGAGGGCTTGCAGAGTTCTTACAAACTTAAAAATATAATGAACTTAGAGTTAGAGGATTAATCAGAACATAATCATTAACTTCCAAATACAGTCGTTAAGAACCAAAAAAGTGAGAAGGAGCATTAGTTACTCACCAGTGCTGAATTTGTGATAAGGATGGTCTTTAGCACTTACATGCTTTTGTAGCTGAAACAACATACTAGGCAAATATATCATCACCAGCAAAAACAACAAATCATAAATCCTTCATAAGGTAAACTAAGCACAAAAGAGTAAACGAACAAAATAGCGACCCATAATAGTTTCAACCAAAGATAGAATAATATAAGGATCCTCAAAAGGCAAATCAAATATTTTCTAATGGACATGATTCAATAGACCTGGCCTACACTTTTGTTAGGCATTCCTACAATCTTAGCAATAAGTCATTTACAACTTCATCCAGTCACCAGCATCCACTTCTAAATCCATGTGTTTTTGCTTGACCCGACAGCCAAGACAAACGTTCTAAAACTCGACAGAGGCAACTCGGACTTGGCCAAGTAACTTGGCCTCAGCCTATGGGCGAGGTGAGTTAGGTGTACACAATATTTTCAAACGTTAAGTATAATATTGCTGCAAATTCACAACATATATGATAGAACGGTTTAGTGGTTAGCTCTAACAATTGAACTTTACCCCAATCAAGGTTCGATTACCGCCCGTCACCCTTTTTAAATACATCATTTCATTGAAACGTCATCTTTTTTTTAACACATCATTTCGTTGGTTAGAAAAAAAAAGTTGCCCGAGAATCAAGCTCTAAACCTCTTATAAAGAGGTCCTTTACAATAAAAAGCGCTAACCAGCACACCATTCCTTATGTTGTTGATAAAAGAGGCACTTATAATATATATAACCATTATTTTTCTTCTTTTTCTTTTAAAAAAAATGAGCTGGACTCGAGGGAGTTACTTGGACTCGCCCGAGTTACTCGCCTCAGACAAGTCCCAAGTACCTTGGCCGAGTCAATTTTTTTAACATTGGCCAAGACTATGGTGATTGATACTCCAAGATTGCATATCTAGAACAAGAGTCTTCCAAACAAGCACAAAAAGCTTATTTTGCTTCCACAAACATTTCCCAACTTGTGATTGCATCGAAAGCCAAAATGATAATTTCAATAATATCAAACATTTCATTTAACCAATAACTTGGAACAAATTCAAAATTCCTGCCTACTCCTCCAGAATTACTATTCAATAATTATGAGGCCAATTCAATGTTCAAGAGCTCTGCATTAAAACTAAAAATTAGATTTTTAAGGGCATTTTCCTTTTCACTAAGGTTAATCTGCACTTTCTAAAGGTTAGTATTCACTGTCTAATGAAACACAAAAAAACACCATCCAAAACAACTATACATCAAATAATACACAGAATGTTCATATAGAAAGTAAATGAAGAAATAGTGACCTGATACATTCGCCAAGAATCTGATAACAGATTGTTTTTATTCTCAGAATAAAGAAAAGCCAAACTCAGAAAAATACATGCAACTCAGAGATACGTCAACAGCATCTGAATTTCTGAATAAGTAATGTAATTATCAAATCAAAAGTTGCAATATGTACCAGAGTCAACAGCTTTAATCTCCCTCATCATTGCATCAGGAGACATCAAGGGATTGATAAAGAACTGAGCAAATCTGAAATCACTCATCCTAATACAAAAATAAACAAAAATATGACAATAATATAAGAAAACAAAATAAAAGGAAAAAACTGAAGCAACATCAATTGATGCAAAAAGCACCTAGAGAAATTACAGAATAGTCAAACAATAACATACCTATCCAACGCCTCCTCAAAATAATCACAATTAACATCAAATTGAAAATTTGTGTGCTTAGAAGCAGTGAAAGCATTTGCGTGGCCCCCATGCTGAACACCTCTCAAGTCAAAAAGCAATAGATCCAAATTATTAACACTAAAGAATATGAGAAAAAAAATATAACAAGGACAAAGAGAACAGACTTTAGTTCACTACAAAAGGAATGTATATATCAATGCAACTATTATCTCGTAATGAGGTAAAGAAATAAAACAAACCATAGGATCACGCTGATTATTTAAAACCAGACTGTGATTAATAAAACATCAAATTGTGCTATCCATGGCATTTCTACCAACAAAACAGCTTGAATAAAAAAAAAAAATGCTAGCATTATAGAGATCATTGTCCAAATTTTTGTCAAGAACAAAGGCTACAAGCAGTGTACCGTGTGTTGGGTTTTGTGGCTTTTAAAGGCCTAGAGAGCTTATATATAGTGGAATATGCACTTCAATGGAGTGTGTATTGTGATTGACCATGGGTTGGGCCGTTTATAACCCTAGGTATGTGGCACTACCGAAAAAAGTTTGCAATGGGCCATCCCTTGTTAAGGTCGAATAGATACCCAAGGATCATGTTTGTAGGCCAGGAGAACTATGTGATCTCCTATGTGAGGTTGTAGGCCTGTGAGAGCAAGGGTCAAAATCAACAAACTTCTGTACCGCATGTACACATGACAACTGCATAGGAAGCACACCTTTAGAGGGACACGTGTATATGTACAATGAGAGAACCTCCTTTTGCACTGTAGTGACAAGTGCTAGAGTTACTCTTAAAGATGGGAACTGTAATCCACATTCCAGGAACATAGTACCACTGTTTTATTATCCAACTTTGACAAGCCAATCATGAGCCCCTGCAAAAAGACTGTGGGTCATGGGACTTTATTGCGTTGGATAAGAGAACAGTTGTGGATCATGTTTTCTAGGATGAGTGGAATGCCCTTAGTGTCGCTTATTTTGACCCATTGGTACAAGTCCACTCCTAGTATATTTTATTTTCGTATATTTTAGAGTTCTAAAAATATTTCTGCTATATATTTTCATAAAAAGGTATTTCTGAAAATTTCATAACTTTAAATAACACATGTAGGACCAACAATCCAACCCCACATATGGGACCACGTGCACCCTAGGGATCACACCCTATTTTTGTAAAGCATAATAGTGGCACACCATTATTTATGGAACAAGAGGGGCACACCCTCTTTTAATATTTTATATTGTTTAAAATACTTTAAAAAGATGGCATTCCACCTTCTTAGGAAGAAAGGGGTTGGGGGCATGTCACTATTTTAGCAAAATAGTGGCACGCCATTTTAAGGGAAGTAGGGGCACCCAATTTTTGATAAATTAAAAGTGAAAAATGCGACGCTACTTTTTGTGGCATATTACCCCAAGCCACTTTTGAGAAGAAGTAGTCACGCCCCAAAATTTTGTTTTAGTTTAAATTAATTTTAAACTAACATGAGATATCTAATGAGATGTGGTTTCCTGTGGGAAATCTAGATTAGATTTATCTAGAAAATATTTGAGTTTGATTTCAAATTTAAAAAGGATAAAGTTTAAATTTGATTGGTTTTATTTTAAATAAGAGTGGATTGGGTCAAAGTGTAAGGGGATAAGGTTCCTAATTCATCCACCCAAAATCATGATGGCTGATTTTTGGAATGGATGGCTCTTATACCAATGAAAGGTGTGGCTATGTGGAACTCAAGGTATTAAATTTTTTTGAATTCAATGTCTTGAGTTCCACATAGCCACACCTTTCACTATGAATCACCTGAGTCGATTTAGACTCGGGCAAGTTTCGAGTAAGGCTGAATTTCTCCCAGTCGGGTAAACAACTCAGGAATATAAAAAAGAAATTCTAAAAAAAAATTTAAAATGTGGGATTGTTTTATAATCTTTTTGTATATGATTGAGATGTATTTGGCAAAGATTGGTGAGTGTTTTTTTTTCCATAATCAATATTTTTATTTTTTTCTTCTCGTTTAGAATTTTTAAAATGTCCGAAACCATAAATCTATTTTTTTTTTAATCCATCTTTCCATACATTTTTAAGCTTGTTTTCAGCTTTTAAAGTTGTTTTAGGATTCAATTTACTTTTTCTACAAGTTTTTTTAGTTTTTCAAAAAAAAAATTATTTTTTTAAGGGCCAAAAGGCCTAGTACTGGACTCGACCGAGTCCTTTGAGGACTCAGCAGAGCAACTCACCTAGGCCAAGGGGCAAGTCCCCTGGTCAAGGCAACTCCCGACACACTGGCTACAAGTTATCATTACTTATAGGAAACCTTTCTTTCACAAAACTAGTACAACTCATGTATGAGTTTAAAAAGCTAATACAGAAGCCAAGGGAGAGTGAGGTTGAAAAATAAGTCCACTAGGCACATGGGACATAAGGGAGATGCTTCACTAACTTTCTCAGAAAACAGCCACATTATACAATTGAATTTGTTGATGCCATGCTGAAGTATAGGATGCCAAGTTGCTTTTCAGATAATGCACAAGAGCGCGCCAAAATAATGAGAGAGAGAAAGGGAAAGAGATAGAGTGGGGTGAAGAGAGACAGGTAGAGAGAGAGAGAGAGATCCGGTTTCTAAAGCATGCAAGATAAATTTCACCAAAGAAACCATGATTCATTTAAAAAAATGGAACAATCACCATAGAATAATTCAAGAGGGAAAACTCGACACTCTTATGAAGGAATATCAACGGATACCTCTGTTATGTATTTCATATAGCTGTCCTCCAATGGATATTTCTTACTTGCATAAAACAACATATGCTCTGAAAGGAAAAAAAACAAAAATCGTATAGATCAACATCATGTTTCAAAGGCCCTATTTAGAAAAGCAGCACATATTAAAAATGGTTTGTATACTATGACCCAAATATATTTCAACAGTATGTCTATTGGGTTATCACCATCACATCAATGTGTTGAATGATGATTGTGGGACAGTTGACCATTCTCTTGTATTGAGGATGAGGTTAATGGCCCACTTCCCCATCGTCACCATCCCCCATCAATGTGACACTGATGACTCTGTACAGTCGTACAGTTAATATGGATCTTATAAAGCAACCAATTTAATCATATAAAGTCCAAGAAAAACAATCACCGCGGCCCACTTCCCCATCATCACCATCCAACCCATCAATGTGACACTGATGACTCTGTAGAGTCGTACAGTCAATATAGATCTTATAAAGTAACCAATTTAATCATAATAAAGTCCAAGAAAAACAATCATCCAGAATTACATTAGTTATGACAGCTCAGTCCATATTTGAGACAACAATACAGTGAAAATAGAAATTCCGTTATACCACATGCACATAGTAATGTGCCAGTTCATAAGATAATTGCTAATAAATGCAATATGTTTAGATGTTATAGATACCACAAGTCCATCATATACCCCCATGCTCTGCACAGTTGAGATGAGTTCAAAGCTTTCTTGCAGCAAAGATAAATCTTCACCCAAATGAGCAATTTACCATTAACCTAAATGAGGAATAACATAAAAAGACCTAACATATAAGAAATATTCAAGTCATTATTTCTCTAAATCAGTGACACCCTCATGAACAATAATTATATTGATACTACAATAATGTTATGTCTTAGTTGATGTCAAAACCATCATCATTAAGGATTTTATGTGTCTTTACCATCCTTTTCCATGCAAAATCCAGATCCCCAAATGCATAGAATCACAGCCATGATCATTAAATATAGGTTCATTAATTTGGTTTCAGGATATCCAAAATTATTTTGCTCAATTCATTACCATAGAAACCTTGAACAACCAAGAAGGAAATCAGGAATTTCACAGGGCAACACCTATACAGCCATCCAATCAGGGAGACTGCTATCATGTCCAAGAAGCAATAACAAAGAAACATTCCCTTCGAAGCAAACTACTCAATGCTACAAAGTTTGAATCGAATCTCAATGAAAGGTAGCTAGCGATGGAAAAATAACATCCTAAAGGGGAAATCACAGCAAAATCTTTAAACATGTGAAAGTGCTCTAAACTACAATAATTATTGAGCTCGTACTGTCACTTACCAAGAAAGTGAGCCAAGCCTTCAAGACCCTCAGGATCACTAAATGATCCTACATTAACATCCATTGCAGCAGCACACTACATCACCAAACAAGCAATCAGCTATACCCAAAGGAGATAGGACGCATCAGTGGAATGTAGACCGCTTAATATTTCTGTAAAGTGTAAACTTAAAGCAAGAGATTAAAACAAAATTACAAGTTACTGCTCAAAATTATTCATCAGACTGATAAGATAAATAAGTTTAACGGTACAGTTTAACAACCAAAAATATGGATCATATGACATAGCATCAAATAATATTTCCTAAAGACTTCAACCGTCAACAGAGAAAGGAATTCTTTATGCAAGAGAAGAACACGGATAAAAAAGCCAAAACACTTTGATAATATTAAATTCCCTTCAGAAAAATTTCTTCTTCTGATTTCAGTTGTGTCAATCACATGTACAATTGTCAAAAAAATTACCTTTAAACGAAACTTGAGATATTAATAAGGGCAGGAGATGAACGAACACTTGACCTCTATGTATAGAATCATAACTTCATCAAATATCAAAGTATTGTAACCAAGATACAACCAAATGCACAAAATCCCAAACTTTGTGCAGTATCAATTTTCACATTAGTAAAGGAAAAATCACACTTCAAATAATATAGACAAAAACCTATGTATAAATAAATCACACAAGATGTTTGCTAAATTCTAAAACAAGGCATCATAATAGATCTCAAACAGTTGTACAAGAACTTCTACACTTCAGCACAACTGAGGAAAATGGAAGACAGAGCACTTATCAAACAATTCAAGATGAAAAAAAAGACAGATACAGAGCGGAAATGGATATAGGGAAGAGATTACACAAAATTCATAAAATTGGATTTAATGGTGGGAAATTGACCTTGTCAGTGTCTGGATCACTGGTAAGGAGCATTCTAAACAGTTGGAGAGAACAATCCTCCTATATTCTCTCTTATCAATGCGAGGCTTCAAAATCTCTATTCTTTCATTTCCTCTCAAATCTCCTCCATTAATTGAGTGCTCCATTATTTTTCTCAAATTTGGTTGCAGAATGCAGAGAGAAAAGCTTGTTAAGACTTTAGAGAGAGAAACCAGGCTCCTATGCGTCCTCATATATGCCCTCACAAACACACAGGGAAGTTTGAATTCGTCTTCACCGCATCGACTAGGCAATTCTTTATGCCAAAATATTCCATCCTCCCGAGGGAGTATGCTGTCCATTGATCCCTTCAGGGAAAATCTAATTTAGAAGTATGTTTAGAACTTTAAATTTTGGGATATAATATCTTCAACACCGATATTATATACTCAATAAAAAATTAATTTGTATTCTTTATGGCTTGAATAGTGCCTCAAGATTGAATAAAACCATCAAATTTTAGAAGGACGAGATTTAACTATTTAAAAAATCAAATTTTAAAATTTTATTTTAATGTAATTATCTAGTGATTTTTTTAGTAAGGTTGTGATTTGTATAGGACCTGGGCTCTAAACAATCAAATTAAAGCCTACCTTCAAATAATATCGAGAAATGTGGTTTCAGTGCTGAAAATCTTTCTGATAACCTTAAAACATATTTTCATCTTTATTTATACAGTTTAAAATTTGAAAAATAATGTAGATCGACAGATCTATGAAAACTTGAAAATCTTAAAAATTGATGGTCCAAAAATGCGTTACAAAATATACTATTTCCAAAACTTGAAATATATTTTTTTTCATGTCCATACATCTTGATGTCGAGATGATCAATTTGAAGATATTTGAGTATCAAAACAACCTTTTCCAATGAAATTTATGTGGTAGGCTCCAATTTTATTCTTTAGAGCCTCGGCTCTAAATAAACTTTTCCCTTTAAGTAATTCTCGAAATTTTGGAGTATAAGGATCTTTCCAAGTTAGTCTTCTTCCTAAGGGACTAATCTCACAGTATACTCCTACAGGAGCACGGCATGGCATGGTATATGCGCTCATTACTTGTTGGTCCACTGGGGAATTACAGTATATACCATCCGACACGGATATAGTTTCAGTAAAGGCAGAGACTTCTTTTTTTTTTTTTACGGTAAGTAAAGGCAGAGACTTTATGAAAGCAAATGAAAGCCTCACCACGAATCCTCGTACAAAAAAGCATTTTGGGCATCGAAAAATTCCATGGTGGCTTTGAAACAATTTTCATTTGAAGCTTACAAAATATATAAATCTTGATATGTGAACACTCTTTTTTTAGAGTGAAATGTAAGGTCTATATAATAATATAGAGTGTTTTTAGGGCCTTAAATCTTTTTTTTCCTTTTTATAACTATAATGGTCGAGATTATCGATTTTAAGGTTTTCAATCCTAGAGCTGAAATCCAATAATTTTTTATTTGAGACTTTACTTATTTTGATAGGCCTGCAACTCTATTTAAATATTTTCCTCCTTTAAATAAAAAAAATAGTTTGTTTAGTCATTGACCTAACCCATTTAGAAATAGAGAGGAGAATACTCTCTCTCTCTCCATAGGGAAGGGAGGACAAATGTCTCCATCTTTCTAAAGATTTCATTAAAACTCTGCCCATGGCACACAATGTGATTCCATGTAAAGCTATGGAATATTCATCCTCTTTTTAACAATTTAATTGGAAAAAATTTTCAAAAAAAATATTTAACTATTGGAATTTAAAAATAGAAAGAAGTTTATATAAGCATGAGGCTCTAAACAATTAAATTAAGGTGCACCTCAAAATTTTATTAGAAGAGGTTGTGTCGATGTCCAAAAATCCTCAAATCAATCATCTCGACTTTAAGATATATGGACATGAAAAAAAATAGATTTTAAGTGTTCGAAATAGTGCATCTTGTAATGTATTTTTTGGACCGTCTATTTTCAAGATTTTCAAGTGTTCATAGATATGCTTGATTTTTACCATTTTTTAAGTTTTAAATTTTACCGTTAGAGATAAAAACAAATTTTCGAGGCATCACAAAGAGTTCTGATACTTAAACAATACTTTTAAAAAGGTGCACCTTGTTTTAGGGCCTCAGTCTTATACAAACCACACCCTTCAAAAATAACAACTTATATTTTATATTCATGTTCAAGTGAGCATGCATTATATTTTAATATTTATTCTCCACACATTTACATCACACACTTGTGAAAAATATAAAATATTTGAGAAAATAAAATAACAAAAACATCTATACTAGAGATATTTTGGTCACATTTTATTTTAAATATTATTATTTATATGTTATACAAATGCATTCTAGTGAAATTATGGACACCCTCATTTTGAACTTACTCCCATGCATAAAAAAAATAAGGAAAAGCATACAAAGAGACTATTTATGTTTGATACAAGGATGTTACAATCACTTCTACCCGTCAATTTGATTAGGCTCAAAGTTCAAAAAAAAGTTCTCAAACATCGTGATGCATACCAAGCCATCCAATTTGACATCTAATGGCTAGGAGTAATTGTGACCTCTTTGTAACAAAAATAAATGGTCTCATTGTAAACAATCCTAAAAAATAAAAATAAAATAAATATGTGATTTAAAAAGTGAGACTCCAACATAAATACTAAGGCATATTTTTATTTTAATTCTAGTAATAAAATAATATTTTTCTATAAATCTCTCAACTTAGGACCTTATTTTAAAATTCATGCATGATTGACCAAATTATAATATATCTGTTATTTACCAATTTGTAATGTGTTTCTCTTTGCTCCAAAAAAAAAAATTGTAATATGTTTCTCACATACCAGAAAAGGAGGTACCCCACAGGAAGAAAAACGGATGATTCGCACCTTTAAGGAGACTTCACTTGAGATGGTGACCTTCCTCTGCCATTGTACTAGAGGAAAGAGAAGTGTCCACGGGAGGCATAGGCTTCTCCCCCAGAGCAAACTGTTCACTTGATCCCTCGGGCAAGACAAGTGTAGGAGCTTGCCCGGCGAGGCCCATGTGAGTTACTCTTCCCAGTCCTACACAATGCCAAAAGGAAAAAGTTTATATAAGGATACAATCTTATAATTTAGAACTACGGATGCACCTCAAAAATTCATCAGAAAAAGTAGTTTTAATGTTGAAAAACCCTTTGATGGATCTTCTCGACATCGAGATGTATAACCATGAAAAATAAAAAGATTTTAGTCTCATAAATAGTGCATTTTACAACACTTTATCTATACTGTCCATTTTCAAGATTTTCATATATTTATAGCTCTACTTGATTTTAACCATTTTTAAATTTAAAATTTTATAATTAGTTATAAAATAGATTTTGAGATAATCCTAAGAAAATTTTACATCAAAATTCTATACCATGATAAAATTTGAAGGTGCACCTTACCTCTACAGCTACAGATGCATCTGCCAACTGCACCTATGCCAAAAAGGCTCAAGTAAAATTTAAAAATAAAAATTTGAAAAATAAAATAAAGATTTAAAAAGTAAAATAAAACAAAAAAACCATAAAATTTTAAATAAGCTTATTAAAGTACATAAAAATAAAAAATCCGAACAAAAAGGAACATATAAAAGAAGGGATTATGGCAAAAAAAAAACTCACCAATCTTTGCAGTAAACATCTAATCATATACAAAAAGTTTATATGATATTGCCATATTTTTTAAAAAGGTTGTGGTTTGTATAAGATCTCAACCTTAAACAATCTAATTAAGACACACCACCAAAAGCTCATCGAAAAATATAATTTTGGTGTCGAAATTTCAATACTGACTTAAAAAACTAGTTCACATCTAACCTAAAAAAAAGAGTTCACACTATAAATCTGCCTAGAGAGGTTCATACCTAATAATTGAACATAAGCCATTTAATTTTTGGATGATTCGATCTACGCGTTTAGGAAGTTGAGGTTCTTTGTTGTTCTTTCATATGAAAATGCTCATCTTGGTGAATTTAAAGTGATTTCAAAATTCTAGATCTAGCAAATCCTCATGAATATGTGTTTTTTCTGGGGAAGCAACTCTACAATTTGCTCCCATGAGTATATAATCTTATTGTTCACAAATCCTCATGAATATGGTGTTTTTCCTATGGAAGCAACTCTAGAGCTCCCATGAGCATATAATCTTATTCTTCTTTCCCTTTTTTAACGCACCGATGGAGCAAAGTACATGCTTGTTCCCGCGAGCGAAAAAGAGGATTTATTTATAGGAAGTGTTAGGTGCACCTTCAAATTTTATCATGGTATATAACTTTAATGTAAAATGTTCTTAGGATTATCTCAAAATCTATTTTTATACCTTATTATAAAATTTTAAATTTCAAAAATGGTTAAAATCAAGTAGATCAATAAACATATGAAAATCTTGAAAATGGACAGTGTAGATAATATGTTGTAAAATACACTATTTCTGATACTTAAAATCTTTTTATTTTTCATCGTCATACATCCTGATGTCGAGATGATCAATCAAAGGGTTTTCAACATTAAAACTACCTTTTTTGATGACTTTTTAGGAGGCATCCGTAGTTCTACATTATAAGGTAGCATCCTTATATAAACTTTTTTCTTTATAGAATTGTCATTATAACATTGGAATAGATTAATAATAATTAGTTAAAATTTTAAGAGTACTACACAATAATATTATTTACTACTAATGAAACTATAGGTAATGTCATTATAATAAATGGAGAATTATATTAATTTTATTTTGATAAACCTCTAATAAAAATGTTTCACCATTTGTTTTTATAATTATCTAAAAGTTATGATATCAACCAAAAATAGCTCCAAAAATAAGAACATCTACAAATCAGTAGGAGCGGTAGTAGTAGTAATAGTAGTAATCATAATAATATCAATATTAACAATATTGTTAATACTCATTTTGATAAATGATTAACTTTGTAATAAATGATTAACATACAAATGGGTATGCTTCCATTTATACGGTTGCAATGCTTAACATGCGAATGTTTGGCATACACTTTAAAGTTGGTATAAATGGTTATAAATATTTATAAAAATTTTTTCTATGCAAACATTTCTTCATCTACATTGGTATTGGAGGTCTATAATATAAAGAGAAACCTTTCTATATTCTCCCTACAACATAGAAGTTCTATCCTCTCCTTTATCCAATCGTCCATTTTTTAATGGAGGGCTAAGATTGCCCCAACCACAATGTCATGTATGTACACTGTTTTATTTTTAAATTTTTTCTATAAACTATTTTGAC